GAAGTCCAAAAATGAGAGATAATGTACCTCAATGGCATCAACAGTAAGGAGCAGAACAATGATCTTCTCAGAGAACCTTTGGCGTTCTTCCGCATCTTGGGCTACTCGACGACGGTAGGAGAAGTTATTAAAATATGCTCTGATCTCTTTCAGCTTAGTCTTGGCAACTGCTAGTTCCCGTAGAGCACGAAGAGCCTGTGATCTGCGAATCAGGTAAGCTCTGAATGTTACTTGGATCACCAAAGCAGCATCTTGTGGAGACAATTCCTTCTTCTTTCCCCTGTTACTTCTTATAACTCCAGCTCTTTTGGCAAAAGCCTAGCATCAAAACAGTAAAGTCCAAGACTGAGTACAAATGAAACACCTCACAGCATACTCGAAACAATATACATTTGAAGCTTACAATGAACACACTGCAAATCATAATTGATTAAGATTTTAGACCTAACATACTTCCTTGAAAAATAGGTTCGATCCTATTGGTGGATCATCAAAGCCAGGGGACGACGGAGGCAGAATTTTATGTTTGGGACAAACAGATTATACGTAAAAAAAAATATACAAAGAAAATATCTAAAATATATAAACAAAGGTGACAACTATTATTAGTCAACAAGCTAATAAAATAAAATAAAATGTAGTTTTCAAGATCTGCTGAAAAGGATTTAAACAGTGGAGAGAACACAAACTCATAGTCACACTACTCGAACGAAACGAAACGAACTAAATTCATCTAATCCAACGACACAAAATGTTAAATACATCAAACCTGTCTTAAAACGACAGCGCCGTGATCAGACGGCTCTTCGATCTCCACTACAAGCGGGGCATTCTCTCCTTTCTTGTCCTTTTTCTTATGCTTCTTCTCGCCCTTTTCCTTCTTCTCCGGTTTGCTTGATTCAATTGCATCGCCACCAGTGGATGCTGTGGATGCTGTGAACGCGTACTTCCTGGAGATCGGCCCATCAATTCCCTTTCCTTCAAACTCAGCCGTCCATTTATACTTCTTCTCTTTCACCTCTTCATTTTTCTTCCCATCCTTGATCTCCGCTACCCATTTGTACTTCCTCTCAACCGGCCCCTTGATCTCCGCAGACCACGTGTATTTCCTGTCTCCGCCGCCGATCTTCGCCTTAACGAGACGGTCAAACTTGGACTCCAGCACGCTGACTCGGTCGCACAAGGTTTGAACAGAAAACTCAGGCTCGGCTTGGCGTTGTATCCTCTTGTACGATCGAAACGACGGCGTTTGCTCGACCAGGACCAGATCAGTGACGCTGTCGTAGATTTCGAAGGGGCTGAAAGAAGGGAAAGGACTGAGTAGGTCGAGGGCGGAGCTAAGTTCATGTTCTTCTTCGAAAAATGAGGGAAAAGCTAAGGGCTTGGGAGCGAAAACGGATGTTTCTTTAACAAAGAGTGATGGGGAGTACGGGTCGAAGATGTCAGTGATCCTGAATCGGCTCATGGTTGCTGGAGGAGATGGAATTTTGAACTCAGTGAGTCAGTGCCAGTAATTAAAAGAGGAGCGAGTTAGGGTTTTGGTTGGAAAGAAAAATGGTTTGACGGTCATCTTTATGGAATGGGAAAGAGAATAAGGACAAATCTATGTAGAGAACGAGGAGGGCTATATCAAAAGAGGTTGAAGGAGAGGGTATATTCGGGAAGAGAATGAGGAGAGTAGAAGGCTGGTCATTGGATAAGAACAAGGAAAAGTGTAAACACGGTTTCGCGCCGCATACTGGAGGTAGGGTAAATGGACGGAAATAGGCACGGGATGGTGAAGAATTACGGGGGCATGAGAATCTGATAGTGCGATTACAAGTTGATTGTAAAACCAGGACGGGCATGTGGGTTCAGTATGAGGGCTGACCCCACGTGACGTGGATTCCCTGCAACGATGATTTAGCTTTGATTTGAAGGTAAATTATATTATTTGTTACTTAATTATCTTTTCATTTTTATTTTAATTATTAAAATATACAAATTTATTCACTCAACTTTCAATTTATTCCTATTTTGATTATATATCATTAAATAATTAGCCACCAAAAAGAAATAACTTGAATTCCTACATAAAATCAAATTTAGACAGAGACTACATTATTTTGATATAATAAATGAAAAAGTTAATGTTCCTCTCTTCTTTTTTTCATTTCTGCTCTTTCATTTATTCCCCTTCATTCCCTTCTCTTTCCATTTTTTCTCTTCAACCTGAACTAATTCAGATTTCGGCCAGCATATCGATCGACGTTCTATCCACCGTTGGCCCTTATCGCCGGAGTCCAATGACTAGTAAATTTCACACCAAATTTGCTTCACCATTCTGAACACAAATCTAGTTAAACTCAACTAGTTCCGGAAAGCATTCCAAAAAAAATGAATATTTTGAGAACTTTCGCTCGAGATCGTCAAATGAGAGAATCTCGGGTATACTACTGTAAGTGCTGGTAGCTAATTACTTGGTTATCCTACAGTAAAACGGCACAAAAGATTTGTGTATTTAAATCATCAGTTTGTTAGAACAAATCTGGGTTTTGGCAACATGCACTGTGATATGCAATCCAATACAAGTTAAAAGAAAACAACAACGCACTTAAACCATTGTAAGTAAAATTAACTCCGAAGGTGCTGATGTATCAACCGACATGTGTGTGTGTGTACATCTATTGGCAATAATCCTTGCAGTGGCACTCACAGCCTGCAAATAGTGAAAATATAACATAAACAACATCCTTGCAAACAACAACGCACCATGTTTTTAGTTTCCAAATTCCAACAGCTTCAGTAAATTCATAATTTGTTTTATACCAAATATTGGATATTGCAACCTTATCAGTAAAGAAAGTTAGCGTAGCGTATGAGCAAATACGTGAACTCAAGAAAAGCACTGTGAGTTGGATGATGAGGGTCTTTCAATAGCCTCAACCATCGAGTACCAAAAAATGCCATATCACCAGTGTTAGAGAAAATAGTGACTAGTGAGTGTACACACTTCATGGAGATAAAGCTACTCAAACATCAAATCCTCTTAAGGTTATTCTCTTTCACCACTAAATTAGGGACGCTGTTAATCGTACTATTTAATCTGAACGGCAAGTTAACCGTTATAACGGTTATTAAATTTTGTTAACATAATCGAACCGCTAATAATAATTATCCGCTAGCAATTTTTAAATTTTGTTAATAACGGCGGTTAACCGTTATTAACGGTTCAGTTATATATTAACTTACGGTTAACCTAATACAATTTTTCTCAAACATAACATAATTTTTAAATTTTCATAAAGTTTACGATTATAGATAGATATTTATTTGTAAGAATCTTAGTTGTTTATAAATGCATTTTATTTTTTAAAAATATATATATTATGAGGTATATTATTTTTTCAATTTAAAATATTATGTGTATATTTATATTTTGCAATTTAAAATCATGTATTTATTTCATCTATGTTTGATTTACTGCGATCCTATAAAAGATAAACACGATAACAAAAAAAATAGGAAGAACCATTTTGATTTTATTTCTAATTATATTCTCTAAAAAATATAATTAATTAATTAATTATAATTTATTATCGGTTAACCACAAATGGTTAACCATTTATTAAAATTCATTAACAGTAATTGTAACCGTTAATTTTTTTAATGATTCGATTAAACAAAATCGTTCAATCATAACGGTTTAATTAATTAAATGTAGTGATTACACTGCTTAATTATTACAATTAACGGTAATAGATTAATTTGATATTTTTCTTAAATACTACAAATGTAATACATTGTGAAAATGATATTTTTCTTTAATTGAACGGTTAAAATTAAGACATTTTCTTAATTAAATATTTTCTTAATTTGATATTATTATGTCACTTTTTTTTCTTAAATACTACAGATGTAAAGAAATACTACAAACCGTTCAATCCTAACTAAAATCACTTAACGAGTTAAAATGATATTTTTCTTAAATACTACAAATGTAATGAAATATACAAAAATTAAAATTATAAAAATGTAATTTTATAATTATTGAAATATTTTTTATTTTTCAAACAAATAATGATCAAAAATATTTGTTTACTAAAAACTCTTTAAAATATAAAATTATAAAAGTAAAAAGGGTAAGAAACTAAAAAATTTATGAAAAAATAATTTATCTTTAAATTTAAAAATTCTAATCCGTTGATATAGTTAAATCTTAAAAATAATATTTTTAGATTATTTGATAAGTTAAAAAAAACTAAGACTTATTGGTGGGTCGTTCATCTCTTTTCTTTAGTTTTTGTTGATCGATGGCGACATTAATTTTAATATTGATTACCGACCGTCGGTATTCTTTATTATCTTTTTCTTTTCTTTATATTGTATCTCTATTTTTTTTTCAAAAAGTATGTTGGTATGATACATTTTCATCCATCTCTATAACATATTTTCTTATGCTTTTTGACATATTTTTCGGTTATTTGATCGTTTTTTCATTTATTCTTTTTAAAGATTGATTTGACATCGACACGACTGATCATTGGACCCTCTGATTGGGTGTGGATACCCAATTTGTGTTTTTGGATAGCTTTTCACGTCGCTTGAGTATGATTTATTGTTTGTCGGCGGTCTTTCAATAGCTTGATCCCTTTCTGTAGTTTATTTATGATGCGATCAGATCTGTTTGTATTTATCTTTGTTTGAGTTTCTTGGTTAGATTTTTAATATTTCCTTATATGGTCCTTATGTGATCTTAAGTTGATAGTTTTATTTCCATGATTATAATTTTTTTTTAATTATGAACTTAATTTAGATTACGAATGTAAATATTTATTGTAATTTGAGATATTTTTTATTTTGAATAAATTAGTTACTTCTTAAAAAAAACTGAGAGAATGAATAAAATTTTAAGATAAATAAAATAAAATATTTTTAATTAAAAAAAATTAATTGTAATCGTCAAATTCAATTAATTCAATTATTGATTCATATATAAACCAATGAATAAAATATAAAAGGGATTATAATTGTGTTTCACGATAAATAACAAGTTTGCTCTCCTATACCTTCCCATCAAAATTCGGATCTTCCGGATGCATCGCGCAACTTTTTGGTTCAATCTTTAGCAAAACCCTAACCCCCAAAAAAGTCAATCCCAACATTCTACTCCAAAAATTTCTGATCCTAAAACCCGATCCTTCTCGATCCCAGATTTACTGCAATTGAAGCGAATCATGGGCATAATAAGAAGCAGTTTTTCGTTCATCGTAGGAACAGCTTGCGGGATTTACGTTGCCCAAAATTACAATGTTCCCAACATCAAGAAGCTGGCGGATACCGCACTCTTCATGGCCAAGCACGTCGAAGAGAAGTACCGCAAGCCCAAGAACAGGGACGACGATTAGCTCTATACGATCCTGTTTTCTGAAACCCTTAGAGTCAACAGGTTCAATTTTATTTTTCTCTTCTTAATATGGGAAAGAAAAAGGAATTATTTTTTCAGATCAAATGCGATATTGGAATTTTGTACAAGGGATTACAAGATAACTTGGTGACAAAATTGTTGCATAATGTTCAATTAGTTCTTTTCATTCAATTGGAGATGCCTAAACTTGTTGTATATTGCTATTTTTCTTGAAAGCGTTACAGTTTTCTCCTTCTTTTTGGACATCTTATATCGTGTTTTTGGGTTTTTCATTGCTGAGGGAATGAATGCGACTGCGATGATTTTTTTTAAACCTGAATCCTGCCCTTATTCAATCGTGCGTTTGTTCTTTTCATATCTTGAGAAATCAAAATTTTCCATTAATTTTGCTTCAGGCTTTGCAGAATTCACTATTTTGTTGTATGTCTTGAGTTTTAATATGGGATTTGAGTTGGCCTACTCGATAACTATTTTGCAGAGTTCATTATGTTGTAATATAGAGCTATCTTGTGTTTGAATATGAAATTTGAGTTGGCCTACTCGATAACTATTTTGCAGAATACACTATTTTGTTGTACTTTTGAATTGGGTTTTGAATGATTAATAGTATTGAGTGTAAGATGTGGACACTTTCTGCAATGCATGCAGCTGCCAGCTAGGTTTACCACTTTGACATGGTATTTTTATTAGAAGTTTCAGAGATTGGTTTCTTTTTCAGGCCTTTCTTTAATTGAAGGAAGAATCTTACATTCTTAACTTTATTGATGTTAACGGTATGTGGTCGGTGCACCTAAATGCTCGGTGGTTAATACTGGGGTTTGAGTTTTGTTTTGCAAATTTTTAGATTTAAGTGGATTGCTTGAATTATTGTTTGTAATTGTTCCTTGGTTTGGAGTGTTGTGGGAGGCCTTTTTGATGTTCCTATTCTTATGTTCTCTTATAGAAAGGTCAAGCTTCATACAAATTGTAGAGGTCATATGTTTTAGGGAAGCATTTACATTACCGAGTAGTGTCGTTGAACGCGCAGAGATCAAGTGTTGCTGAAGCTTTCTTCCAGCTAGTGTCATGAGTTACGGATAGGTGATGGGTCGTATTGCTTCTATTATATACAATGTCCTGTTGTCCATCTTTGATGTTTTTCAATTTGTGTATATTCATTCTGCCATGAAGCCGAACCATCATCCATGGGGCAATTCTATAACCACTGGAATCTCTCTTCTGTATGTCAAATAAAATTTTGGTCCTACTCCTAATCTGTTTGTAATGAAATGGTTGATATTAGTAGTTATGTGAATATTGTTGAAAATATTTCTTATACCTCCTTAAACCATTATTATCTCAGTCCTCACACCAATACTAAGAGTATGTATATAAACTACCATACAAGGCTGGAAATACATGAATTAAACAAAATATTAACATAAAAAAATATAATAGTTATATTAACGTATAAAAAAATGTATACTAGAACAAGTATGAAAAAAACTTTGCAAAAATAAAATAATTAAAATTAAATATTAATCGAAATGTTATATATTTACTCCCTAAAAGCATAATAACTAAATACTATTAAAATAATTAAATAACAAATTAATTACGCAAAATATTATACTAAAAAATATAAGATCTAAACCTACCAGACTGAACTTTATAAATTTTGATCGCAATTTCTTTTCTTACTGAATGAAAGAATCAAGAATTTTATTTGTTTTTAACATATTTTTTCGTAGTGGGGGATTTATAGGGGGGAGGATGAGGGTTTACATCCTTTTGCTCGATAAAGGAATTTATTTGATATTGAAAGCCTAGGTTGAATAGCTCAGCGAAATCGGACCCCCAATCCGAAACTGGATCAGAAAAAGATAGCCCTAACATCCCCTGCTGAATTTTCGAAGAACACCTCCACAGCCTGCTTTACCCTACATTTGAGTGGGAAGACGTGTTTCATTTCCTTTGTTTTTTAAAAATTAAATTTTAAATTTTAAAATGATATAATTGATTAAGTGTGTCTTTCATGTAAATTATGAATTTCTTAAACATTTATTGACTAAGATGTTGCATAAGACAGATATATTCTGTCAATTGCATCTTTTGAATTATATCAAACACACTTTTTCAAAAAGATATAATTTACATGACCATCTATATGTTATGCGATAGAAATATATAATCTCGATAAATTAATAAATTGTTTTTATATATTATCACTTTGATTAAAAATAATAGGGTTAATTATTCGAATGGTCACTTTCATTTCAATTTTGTTTATTTGTCATCAATTTTGAAAAATTACATTTTCGATTACTTATGTTATCGATTTATTAAATTTGGTCACTTATATTATCGATTGTTATATTTTGACCAGTGAACCGTTAACTTTTGTTAGTTTGATGACATGGCATGTTCGTAAAAAATTGTTAATGTTTAATATGACTCCTGAACTTTAGATAAAATACTAATTTGACCCTAAATTTTAGATAAAAAAATCAATTAAACCCTTGAATTCGAACAAAGTCTAGGACTGTTAAAATATGTATGCAGGTGTATAGCCATTGACGTACTCTTTTTTCCATTCTTTTTATATATTTTTAAAAATGTTTAAGGCTGATGTGAAGAATCTCCTATGTACAAAGCAGAAACGAAAACTTAAGTGTTGCAAGTGCAAGTTTTACACATTCTTTTTACAATAACAAAGAGTTGAAATTATTTATTTTTGTCTATGGATTGATTCTTTTCTTGTTCTAATTTTCAGAACAAACGGGAATGGATGAGCTAGCAAAAGCCTTATTAATTACTAAACAAAGAAGTTAGGCTACCTAATGTCCAGGTACAGATATTTTGGTCATTTTTTGATAACTTATGTACATTTATAATGTTTAGTTAAAGATAAACGAAGATTACAACGGAAGCACCAGTGGTTTAGTGGTAGAATAGTACCCTGCCACGGTACAGACCCGGGTCTGATTCCCGGCTGATGCAGTTGTCTTTTACTTATTTTAAATTTCACAATCGTTTATAAAGCAGCAGTGCTCATGATCTTTTTGTCAAGCAATGCTGAGATTATTCGTGCTAGCGATGGCTTTTTTTTTCAGACCAACACAGGAAGAAGAAAAAAACAGATGAAGAAGAAGCAGAAACATTAGTATTAGTGCTTTTTTAAGTTATTAACAAAAAACTAAGTTCCCACGAATTAATATAACCAAAACGGAGTTGGTCGTAGGAAGAAAACATTACAAATATATATTAAGATTCATATGTTATAATATTTACTGATATTTTTATAATAATTAGATAAGTCAATGTTAGCTTCGAATCCTGCACAAGTATTTAATGTCACACGCTTTATAAGACTGCTGCATTTCCCCTAAAGCACATCATTTCCCATAAAACTTTATTCTATAGTCTCTTTCCTTGGCATCATCATCTTCTAGCAGTAGCATTGGAAGAGAGTAGGTTGCCTCAGGTAATTCCCTTATCATTGTCAACGAATCCACAACGCTTTGCCTTGTATACCAACTCTGCAATAGCAACTCCAGTGTCGTTTGTGAAGATGAAAAACAAGTAGCTGTAAAAAGTCAACTGCAGCAGCTTGCAAGACCCATGTACAGCAACACACCCGTTCATGGTGCTCTCATAGTTTTGACCATTCTTGGTGATCCAGACTTGAAGAAACTATGGCGGAAAGAAGTTGGTAATTGAATGGTTTCTTTTCGAAATTTTTGTATTTAGGCTAATTGCATGAAAGGAATGCAGCAGTAGCTGATGCCATTGCAATACCAGCCCTAAAGGGGAGCGTAGTAGTTGACTGGTATAAGCAAACCATGTGTAATCTTCTTTTAAGATCATCTAAACTAGGATTAACTATCATCGATAAAGGTGGTCGGCGGTGACCAACAGTGGTGAGTGGCGGTTGGTGGCAGGAGACTTTAGTCGAATTTAGGGGTTAATTTGATATTTTATCAAAAATTTAAAGTTAAATTAATATCCTATCTAAAGTTCAGGGATCAAATTAAAAATTAATCATTTTTACTAATGTGACTCGTCAGCTGCTTAATGACTAAAATGTAACAATTGATAACGTAAATGATCAAAATTTAATAAATCGATAACATAAGTGATCAAAACGTAATTTTTCAAAATTAATGAACACATTTCAAACTAGAGTGACCATTCATGTAATTAACCCAAGATAGTATATAAGGAGAATATCAAATTATGCAATGCAAAATTTTTTAGTTTTACAGATTTAAAATCGTGGACAAGTAAAATAACGATAAGTTATGTGGCTGTTTTGAATCATGTTGCATGCCAACTTGCTGAGGACATGACCCATTGGTGTGGACCAAATTTCTACCGCTTTACGTCACTCATTTGATCCCTGTATTTGGTACACATTCATGCATCGATGGGGCAATCTGGAAACAACCTCCGAAGTTGCCGTTTCTGAAACAATACTAAACCAAACCAACATACTCAACACATCGTTTTCTTAAATCCTGTTTGTGTTTGATTCTTCTTCTTCACTGCAACTTGGTGCATAGTTTGACTACTGTTTTGGTTTTACCAGTGTAAGGACCAACTCCTACCGTTGGTCTTCCTTCTTTCAAGTTCTTTTAGTGTGTAAAGCTGTTGCTTGAGAAAGAAAAAAAATACACCTGATTATAAAGATATTTTTATCTTAATAATATTTTTTTCATTATTTATAAAGATCATTTCTTTAACTGTTAAATAATTAGCTGACCTTTATTCCCATATGTAATGGGGTAAGGGGAGGTAGGATAGTAGGCTGCCCCCAACGTCAGATTGAGAGCAGCTTCCGTAGGAGACCTCCGAATTATGAAATGCCCTCCGTGAGACTCGATCCTAACGTTGGGGGCAGCCTACTATCCTACCTGGCGTTACCCCATTACGTATAGGGATAAGGATCAGCTAATTTATTTGACTGTTAAGGTAGCTTAATTCATACATTTATGGAATAATTGAAGATGAAATTTATATATATTGTTATTATTTTATTTGACTCATAATCAGAAAATACATGTTTTGAAAAAGTGCAACAAGTAATAAAAAAAATATTATTCAAACAATGTTGCCGATTACAAATAATTTGAGAACAGTGGTAGTGGTCTATTTTCCTTTTCTCAACTTTGATGACAAAAAGGAGAATTAAC